TTGTTGCCAACCTTGTGAGAAGTGTGAACCTTGTTTGGCCCCTTTTAAGCCTAACCATTTCTTGGAAGAAACTTGAACAATTGTGACCTCTCTTTATCCCTTTACCCATAACTTTTCATGAAATATGGTTTGTTTGAATATCCAACTTAGGACAAAAGTTTAAGTTGGGGGTGTGGTGAAAAAGAAGGAAAGTCAAGAAGTGTGAAAAACTCCCCCTTGTTTATGGATTGTTTTGAAAAAGATGAAATCCCTCCATGTAAAAAAAAAAAGAGAAAGAGACTGAAAAAGAGAAAGAATTGTGAAATAAAGTTGTGAAAATAGCAAAAGAAATGGGGTATCTGGTGAATCATGTCTAGTTGAATAATGGGGTGGATTATGATCATGTTTGAATGTGAAAGAGAAGGAGAGAAAGTGATTTAAGGCCATACTTCATGAAGGTAGAAGCCACTAAGCCTAAATGACCATACATTTAAACTCAACCCCATTACAAGCCTTGGAAAGACCTTTGTGATCTTGAGTGAGCTGAAATGATTGTTGATTGGAAAATAAGGGCAAGTCTATGAGTGAAGTCATGCATGTGTTCATCTTTGTGAGTGTGAGAGTTGTATATGATTCCGGGACTTTAAATTGTGGAGAAATTTTGTGTGAATATGGAATCATCTTTGTTGTGAGGGCATTTGAATACCTTTGTTGAGGTTGAACTTGCATTTAAAGCAATCATTATGAGCTTGACTACATTTGATGATGGTGAGTCACAATTTGAAACTTTGAGTGCACAATTGATCATTGTATGAGTAATTTGAACCTTGTTGTGTGCATTTATGTTGAGTCTTATGCAACACTATTTGTAGACATCCTTGTTGAACTGATTGATCTTGAGCTTTACTTGAGGACAAACAAAAGTATAAGTTGGGGGAATTGATGAGTCCGAGATTTTGACTCATTTAGGGTTTTGTTTTGATAGTATAAGTGTCCTCAAATACCTAATTTATGCTCTAAACTGATGTTAAAGTATTAATTTGCAGCTATGAAGGCTAAGGAGCAAGACAAGGACATTAATACCGGACAAAAAAAAACTAAAAAACTAAAAAAGTGAAGAAAAGCGATCCTAGTAATCGTCAAGACCACTCGACGCACCACCGAGTGGCTATTTAGCTTGCCCAAAGTTCTAGCATGCTAGCCCTGGGGGAAATCCAAGTTGGCGACAGAAATGGGCAGTCGATGAATCGCCGACCCACTCTGCGACAACAAGTTGGATCGCCCAAAGTTACAGGACCTGGAAGGCTGATGACCAATTCAGAATGACGATGGAAGGGAGCAAAGGGCGGATTGTCGAACCACTCGACAAGGCGCGACTTATTCCGCCGAATGTACTTTCAGGCCAAAAAGTGGGAAACTATAAATTGGAATTTAAAAGGAGTTTTGAGCAATTCTGATCCCCAAGTTTGAGAGTTAGAGTTTTCTCTTAGTTTTTGAGTTCTTATTGTAGACTTTAGGATTTCTAAGCTTAATTTTGAGGATTTGCAAGTGGGTTTTTGAATTTAACCATAGGAGAACATTATAAAGGCTTGGAGACTCTTACCTAGGTGATGGCCAATCGAGTTGGTAATTGTTTTTACGTTTTTTATAATGTTTAGCTAAAACCCCAATTCTTGGGGTGTGATCATGTGATTATGGGCTGAATTAGCTTATGGGTATTGTTATTTACTGATTTTAATGCTTAATTGAAGTGGGTTTAATTGATAGATATGTATTAATCTATGAATTGTAGTTGCAAATGCAATTCTAGCATAGAGTTCTTGCTTGCTTGAGAGAGAAGTTTTGGAACCAAAGTTTTCGATTAAGATTGTAGTTATTGAGTTGATATGGGTTTAGCTCGAAAGAGTAAATTCTAAATTTGATTCTACCTATCTAGCTCGAGAGAGTGAATGAATTAAGGTGTGGGTTGTTCTTATTTGCTTAGCTTGTTGATGTTCGAAAGAAATCACTTGAATCATGGTAGTTGTTCGAGATAACTATCTTACTTATAGTGTAGCCTACCCACTGATATTTAGCTATTTGTTAGTAATTTCAACTACCCGTACAATGAAATTCGCCTATAATCGATCACATCCCAATTGCTCTCTTTATTGTTATTTCCCTCGTGTTTGATTGTGTTGTAGCTGCTAATTGAAAATCCAAACCCCCCATCTGACATTCATTGTCACACCCTTAGATTTATTTACATGTTTACGATAATTTCTATTCCTATAATCGAATAGACCACTTTATAACTTCATAACTGAATTTAAACATGTACTGCTCCCTGTGGGTTCGAGCCCAACTCTTCATTGGATTTTATACTAATTAACGATCGTCTACACCTAGTATTGGATGAGGTGTATTTGAGACATCGATCACCACCTTACCTTATTTGTGAGGTATCATTGAGTGTTATCAATTCATTAGCATTGTCGCATTGTGGGCAAGATGTGTTCATTCTGATTGATACAAAGAATCAAGTAAGATGCAAAACATAGTTTAAGAATACATAGAGTTAACCTTGGACATAAGTACTTGGTGAATGTAGTTAAATCATGCTTCACTTTTCGGATATGGTTAGTAATTTTTGAATTTCTTATTATTGTCTAGTTATTTTTTTCTGCTTCTCCAAATAATGTCTCTAGTGATCCCAATCAGTTGCGATGGGAAGTGTGACTATAATCACATTGTCAAGATTAATGCTTCTCCCTTCTATAATTGCACACACTCACCTTTTAATTTCTTAGGTCTCTTTACTATTGACTCTCAAATGTTGAACAATAGTAGAGAAGAGCATCATTCATAGTTAAAGGAGGAAGCCTTTTACTTTAATTTTAGAAATTTTTGAGTGTTTTCCATGACCTTAGAGCATGGGTATATACTCTTATCCCTTGAAATTTTGCTCTATCTCATACCACATATAATGATGTGAAGTAGAGAGTTGTAAGGATTTTTAACAATTAGTTATTCCTTCCATACGTTGCAATTGGGAAAGAAAAACCATTGATTGGAAAAAGCAAGACTACCGAGTACAACATATAACAAATTCTTAAGATACTTCCGATCTGGTTGCACATATAAAAAGTACCAATTCATATTCAATTCCTTCTCTAGTAGAGATTATCTCCCAAAAATGGTTGACATTCACCTGCCTCCCCCTGCCAAGAACTTAACCTTGGTTACTCTGTTTGCTAGCCTATAGGCTTTTGGTTTTCTATATCTCTAATTTCTAAGTCGTGAAAAACGTGATAATTGCTTTAAGTTGTTGCAACTCTGTTACTTGTCTAAAAAAAACTGTTGCAACTCATCAAATTGAATAGAAAGTTAATGGCCCATCAACTTTCGCCCTATGCACCTCTTTCTTGGCTTCTCCCTTCAAAATCAAGGCAAGCCCCTCTTTTGGTCTTCCCCACAAAAAAAAAAATCCTCTAAGTTTAGTTAGATGTCTCTACTTCCCATAGTCACTTGTCATTGCTCCTACCCCTATGCAACCTAAACAATTTCGACACCAACCTTTGCTTGAATAAATGAAAGTGACTTTTCTGACCATTATAATAAATAAATCATGTAGGAATAGGTTAAAATTTTTTACTAACATATGGTTATTTTTCAACAATTTCTAAGAGAGAGTTATGTTTAACTAGATAGATTTAAGACTATAAAAGTTGATTGTGAGGAACCCACCAAGTATTCCAGCACAAGTTAAAGTACAGAAGCATCTTAGTTTTCAGTTTGTAAATAATAGTACAACATGCAATGGGTCTAAACTCTTTGACATAAGTAGGATTGGGAACTTTGGGTACTTATGTCACTGTTTTACAGTTTATCCCAATCAAAAACTTCATAAATTTCTATTATATATATAATGGACTTGTTAACATGCTTCTAAGATCACTATTGATTTGTACATTATGAAATTCCTAATGTATCTATAGTGGATTTGTTAACATGTCTCCAAGTTCACTTTTAAATATCCCAGTTCCCAGAATGCCTTGAAGGACTTCAAAAATTCTTATTGTATTTGTAGTGAATCAGTTAATATGTCTCTAAGCTCACTACTGATGTTAAATACCTTATTTTTTTTTGCTTGCCTTGCTTTCACAAAGATTTGAAAGAACTTGGTATTAGAATCTCCATAGGTGATCCAAGTGACTTTTGGATCTTTGAGATTTTTTTCAATTTTCATATGGTTCTGATATATAATATAACTCCTAACTCATGATGTTTTTCCCATTATATTTCATCTTTTGATACATTTATTTTATTATTAGAGGTCATGCAGTCTTATGTTAGAAAATTTTGCTTATTAAATATTTCAATATGACGAACAATCGTGGAAATTATTTGAAGACATTATTTTATTGGACTGGTTATATAATGGTATTAGTTATTTCGTTCAAATAAAGAGGCAGAACCTGAGAGTGCAGACTACTATTCGAAGAATTGAAGCTACAACCCAAGTTTATTTATTTTCCGCATTGGCATTGGAGTTGTATGCTTCCTGTTGTCGTGGCACAAGCAAAAGGTACATTTAACAGAACCAAAAAAGAAGAACCTTAGAGTCGTCAACTCATGTAGCCTAGGAGAGAGAAAAGGCTGGTGAGAGGAGGGGAAAGATAGGGAGTCGAGAGGACATTGGCAAGATCAACAGTTGAAGAAGAGTGGTTGTTGTGATGATGTGTCCTAGGAGGAGTGCACATTCATATTTCTATATACAATTTTTGCATTACTAATACCTAAATTTTTAATTGCTACACAACTTATTTCTTAACCAAATGACCTATTATTGTTTGCATGATAAAACAAAGACAATAAAAGTGTCTATAAATTTGAATTAGAAATAATACGATGAATATAGAAAAAACATATAGGAGTATAATAATAGTTAATAATAATAATAAAACCATGGTATTTATTTGATAAAATTGCATATAAAATTCAAAAAAATATTAGTTTCACAGTAGAGAAAAGCTTAATTATCACTTTGTTTCCTAATTGCAATAAACAATTTTGGAGTATTACTGTATATACAGAGTCCTATTAAGAGTAGATTTCACCGTTAGTCCCAAAGCTTCGAAATACAGGCAATGAAGCTCGGTCTCATTACTGCATATTCCCGTTCTTCTCCGACCACCGTCACACTCATCTCCGGCAATCCCCATGCTAAAACAGCGACGTTTGGCGTGAAATTTACCTCTTCCTTCAGACTCAACTCCGGCTACAAAATCTCTAGCTTCTCCCTGACAATTTGTTCGTCTAAATCATCATCTGCAGTTGATTCTGCCGGTGCCGGAACGGAAACCTATAATCAAACTGTAGATGGAGAAATTTCGTCGCCTCAGGTTACGGAATCGCTCAATGTTGAAGTCGGAAGCCCTAAAATTCTACCGAGTTATTTCCCTCCCAAATTAAGCTTAAGTGACCAAGCTTTCTTTCTCTTGGCCTTCATTGCTTGCACGGTACTTTTAATTAAACTCTCTATGTTCTTTTCTTTTGTTCATGTCTTCGATTTAAACATTGAGTGCATTTTTTTGGTTGAGAAATTGTCAGTCTTTGAGATAACATTTTTAAAGGGTAAATAAGTTTTAAGAGATTTTCTTTGTTATGCAGACGTCGGTGGCTTTCACAAGTCTGGTAGTTGCAACTGTACCAACACTGTTTGTGAGTTCTCTTGATCACTTGGTTGGCAATTTCTTAGTACTTTGGTTTATGCATTCTTAATTTTCTTCCCTTTTATTGAGATCATATTGCAAGGGTGTTTGCAACTGTTTTTGTGTATGGCATTTGTATGTTTAAACTTTTGAGTGAAACTTCATACGCCCGGTATCTATGCTAATAAATTGAAGCTAAGAGTGTGCTTTGCGGTAGAAAGCCATGTTTTTGTGCTACTGGGGTATATGATTGAGGGATTCTGTTTAGTGTATGGTGAGAATTGTATAAATATTATAATTGGATGCCATATAAAAAGTTATGTGCAACCTTCCCTATGTTTACTTCAGAAGGTCTTAGTTTTGTTTCCTTTTGACTGGAGCGAACAAATAATTTTCTGAGATGACAATGTCATTGAAGCTTGACAAGTTCGTTTAGTAGTTAGTTTATGCTGAGAGTCTTGACTCCATTGAATATAGAGATACAAAGCCCTGAGGTGAATTGTTATATTTTAAACGAAAAAGGGTCAAAATGCTCCTAGTGTATTGAAAATGGTTTATATTTTCCCTCCTTCAACCTAGTGAACTACTAGAATTCCCTTAAGATTAATTTTCAGGTTAGAAATGACTCTCCTGCTACCTATTAGATCCCATTTGCCCTTAACATTAAATTTGGCGCTAAAAATGGCCTTACTTTTATTGGAGTTATGAGATGTCATATGTGGGGCTTTAATAAATCAGTACTACCTATTTAGTTGAAGTCCTACATATGTCATCTCATAATTTCATTAGAAGGAATGACGCTTTAAACCGTAAAGGGAAATTGGGGTCCAAGAGTGGAAGGGGGGGGGGGGCATTTTTAACTCGAAATTAACATTAACGGCAATTATGGTCCAATAGGGGGAAGGAAGGCAAATATTTAAACCATTTTCAATATGTAAGGGACATTTTTGACCTATGTTAGAAGCCTTCCCATCCGCGTACATCTTAAAACAAAGAAATAGTTTAGCTTTGTTCTTCTTTCGCTTGCATACGTTTAGTTGTGAATAGTCTTTTGAAGGTTCAGTGACCTTGAGAGATAACAGTGAGCAATACAAACTCCAAAAGTGTCATCATAAGATCCTATAGTTATTTATACTATTTATTTATTTTCTAATTTTGGTAAAAAAATCATAATGGATGTGTACACATATAATGTGGTCTACATCAATTAATTTATGAGTAGTCCTGTTCTTACACCAAGGCAAAAGAGTGAAGTTTCTTCATAACAATCTAAAGGATATGACCTAGTGAGATGGAAGACATTCTTTTCGTGGTGCTTGAGGTGCATTTGTGCTTGATACAAAAATAATGTCTTAAAGATCTGCTCTTCTTATTCAAAGGATAAGTGGAGTACTCATAGAACTTGGTCTCATTTTTTACACATGCCTTTTACGGAAATGGATACTTGAAATGTAACACAAATAATTAACATAATGTCCTATATAAGTTATGAATTGTGAGAAAAATACTGATTACTGTGTGAATGTGGAGCCAATAGTTTCGAAACACCTCAGTTCAACTCATTTGATCTTTTTCTGTAGGCGATGCGTAGAGCAGCAATATCTTTGTCTAAGTTGGCAGATACTGCTCGAGAGGAGCTTCCTAGTACAATGGCTGCTATCAGGCTGTCTGGGATGGAAATCAGTGACCTTACACTGGAATTGAGTGATTTAAGGTAATAAATTTTCTCACTCGAAAGGGACTGACCAGTTTCTCTTAGGATAAACTCACTGAAGTTCTTTGAAGATATGTAATATCTGGAAGCAAGATAGTATTGGTATTTCGAAGGGAGCAATGATTCCTAGATATCTCAAGGACTAAGTTACTTCAACTAATGATATACTTACTATGCTTTATGATTTAAAAGCTTATTCTTCGTTTATTTTGAGAGAGCCTTAATGTTGTGATGACTCAAGAAATGTAATTCGTTGAGCAAATCTCGTAGACAGAGACTCTCAATGTCATGGTTATTAGTCTGAGAAATCAAAAGACATATTTGGTTAGTTTGTTGTTTAGATGTCATGTTGCTGGTTTTGGAATATAATCTGGTGCACCATATTTTTAAGAGCTTCAAGAAAAATAACTTGATATTCTGCAATACATGTTGGAGTTATCCAGATTATTTAAGTTATGTAGTCGTATAATAATGGTTGGAATATAAATTGCCGTGCTTATTGTGGAAGTATACCTATGGAATGGGGTAGAAACTAGAAAGGTATCAATTTTTCATCAGAATTTGGGAAATAAACAAATTTGCTTCTACAAGAACTCAAAAGTAGCCGGAACTTGTTGCTGGTGGAGGTGGTAGGCATTCCGTGGAATTAGTCGAGGTGTGCCGTGTGTCGTGTGCAAAAGCTGGACCGGACACCACAATTGTCAAAAAAAAAACTCAAAAGCAGCACTGCGTAAAACAAAACCTCTTGGGTAATTTTTACCTACGAACAATTGTACCTTGGGCCAGTTGAACGTCCTTTCGAATTCGCCTTCCCATAGGCCCTGTCAGGACCCAAGACCATTGTGAGTGGCACCTACACTAACCTTTCCGTGGGAGAACCAACTATCAACCCAAAAACATCACTCGAAACATCATTCTAAAGCCAAGTCATGATATAAGTAGAAGGAAAACAATTTAAAATAACCTAAGAATTGAGTTCCCATCAACTCAATCAGAAGTCACAATAATTGCAGAAATAAACCCCTTGAACTGAAAGTCATAGTAAGAAAATTCTAAATAGTCAAGGATGGGGTTGCAACACCAAAATCTTATTAAAAACATAACTAATAGTCTAGTGTCTCTACATAAAAGATGGACAAGAAGATGTAGAGGAACCCATGACAGCCTGGAAGAGCAACTCACCCTTGGATTCGAAGTCAAGCGTTCCTTAATTGAGGTCTTGTATTAGTCGCTGGCTTGTACTCAAACAAGTGCAGTGTCAGTACACAACCACAATGTACTGGTAGGATCACATGGCCAATTCCAAACTATGAATGTAAACAAATAACCACAACATAGTAAAAACAGCCAACAGATATAACAACAATCACCATCACAACTCCCAATCACAATATCATGTATCACCAATACTTGGAGCATGTCCCACGTGATCACAATAAACAAGAACCCAGTCCTCTCATGGAACCACAAATACACATACCCGGTTCTTTCAAGGAACCCACACACAAACTGTTAGTGTACCAACGCGGTACCCGAACCAACCAGAGTTAGTATTCATACAAGGCGTGGTAACCGAGCCAACCGTTAGTATTCCTATATCAGCGTAGTACTCAAGACAACCAACAATCACAGACAATCATGCACAATCACAGTCATAATGAACAATAACACTTGAAACCACTAGTTAAGTAAACAGGTTCATTGCATGAGATTATCAACATGATGTCATTTCATATGTTTTCCCCAACATGCATTGCACAAGTGATACTATAAAGCAATAGACATGCATACATACATAAATTGGAAAGTATACAACTATCACCTACCTCGAATCAAGCCTCTTGGAAACTCTATAGATACTGAGCTTTCCCCTTTTTCAATGTCTTGGCTTGTTCTTGGTCTAAACAATAATCAAACAATAGTGGCCTAACAATACCCAATAACCCTAGGACATTATTTATCATTCTACCCAAACCAGGGTTTTTCCCACCATTAATTCGAGTCCCCCCAAGAGTAATACTCTAGATTCTAAGGATCAAGGATTGAATTCAAGTTAAGGGAGTGGGAAATCTTACCTTTATCGAGAAGAACGATGGAAAAGAGGTGAAAAACACCTTAAGTTGCATCTGTAGTTCCCCTAAACGAAATAACCAAATAATGATTAGTTTTGGGACTTTTCTGCCCAAAAACTCGACTTTTCCCCTCTAGCGGCCCAGCCCGCTATAACGGTTGTCAGCCCGCTATAGCATCTGCACACTCCCACTACAGCAGCATGAACTTCAGAGACTCGGATGCCCCTAAAAAGTCCATTTGTCACAACATACCTTCTTTTCTTGACGTTCCGAACTATCCCCTTCACGTCAAGTTCGATTCCGAGAGTCTTACTCACCTGAATTTGATTCCGTAAAGCCCCATGGGTTCCTTAATGTCTTGGCTACTAGAAAATTTAAACCAAGCCTAGACATTTCACCCCACCCATTCCCGGATGACCCTAGACCTCCTTGATCAGATTCCATCTGAGACTGGCCCTAACCTAGAATTGTTAAGTCATTACCTGAAAAGTTTTCTAGCCCGATTTCTTTCATCATTGGCGTAGTCATAACGAGCGGGAAGGGTCGTTTCAGACCCATACTTGGCAACAGTGGCGGAGCCAGAAATTTCACTAAGGGTGTCCAAGAATAGTGGTGTGTGTCTGTCAAATTAAAACAAAAAAATATTGTACTATTTGAGTTTGAACCTAGAACTCCTTCATTCAAGTAGACACCCATTACAACTGCGTCAAAGACATAGCTTTTGTCAAGGGTGTCCAACTTTAAATATATATCCTATAAATGTAGAATTTGACATCTATATACTACGTAATTTTCCAACGAAGAGTGTCCAATTTGACACCCTGGGGTGGCTGTAGCTACGCCACTGCTTTGCAAGATGCTAAGGAACAATTACTTTCTCTGGGTTTACACTTACCACATTCTATGTCTTTTGCATTATGGTAAATAGCTAACCCTGATAACCTTGTTCATTTTTTGTCCTTGCACTACTTGTGTGTCACTGTTGATCCCGGTCTCCATAGATTTCACTTCCTGCAAACAAGTTTTATTTCATCTCTGTCACATTTCCTGATTTTTGATAACTTTTAATCCTCACTTTCTGCTTATAGTCTCTTCTCAGAATCATGTATGATGGAAACATATCCTCTAATAAATGCAAATTAGTGCAGTTGTTTACAGCATGATAAATGTTTATGACTTTAGATAGGAGGTTATGGAGGACATATATTAGCGTAGATGGTTAGTTAGGTAGTTGAGAGTTGTCTTGCTTATTGCTAGTAGTCGTAGTATTTTGAGAGTTTCTTGTTATTCTATCCCGGTGTCTATTTGATGTTTCTTGCACTTTGATTATTGTATTATTGTTGTAGTGGCTGTTCCTTTTTAGTATGCTTTGCCATGCTTTCTTTAGCATTTTGTCTTGACTTCTTCTCTCTCGTTCTTTTCCTTTTCAAACTGCTTTGTAATGTTTTTACTTAAGCGGAGGCTCTGTTGGAAACAACCTCTCTACCTCACAAGGCAGGGGTAGGGTCTGCGTACACACTACCCTCCGCGGACCCCACTTGTGGGATTTCATTGGGTATGTTGTTGTTGTTTGTTTACGACATGATAAAGATTCAAATCCATCTCAGGGAAGAATTGTTCAGCTATAGTAATGGCATTATCTTCTTGATATTTCCTTGGGACAGTTCGGAGAGTAAGGTATGAAGTCTCTAAAGAATTTAACTTGAAGTACACTGGATGAATTTTTTTTCTACTATCTTTATTCAGTAGTAGAATTAAGAAGAGTGAGTAGCCGATTATATTTTATTTCTCTGACAGCCTTCTGCTTTGGTTGCTCTTGTGTGCTCTACTTGGTCTTCAATATCAAAAGAATGTGGTCCTATGGATTCAGTCTCTGATGAATCCAACATCAGTGACATACAGGTAGAGCAGATTGGATCAAGGCTAATTCCAGCTTACTCTCCACCTAACTGGGTTGAGTGGCTTACTAAGAGTTTCTTGCAACTCACTGATATCATCGCTGAATGGTTTTGCGATATTGCCTTTAGATTTGACCACCTCTCCTAATCTGTGGTAGGCACAATTGGACGTGATTTCCTGCTTTGGAAATGCTTTTAGGCACAAACTAATTTTTATAACTATGGGAAGGAGAGAACAAATATAGTATCACTTGTACTGTATGAGGATGGGTATTCTATTGATTTGATGTGCGAAGGTTGGAGATTACAAAGTTTTATAAAAGCTGGGGTTGAAAAGTGGCAGTTTTCAAGAGGGTTACGGAATGTGAAACTAGAGGAGAAATTAATAGGAAAATAGAACATTTGTGGTAGTTTCTTGGACATTAGGTTTCTAACATACTATTTGTTGAGAGAAATCCCTAGAGTTTTTCTGTTAATAAGAAAAGGAAATAGGAAAAAAGAACTTCAATGTAAAGAAATGTTAAACATCAACCAAGAGCTCATGAGAAAATGGGAATTAAGAAGACACATTGTCAAATTCAAAAACAATTCCAACTGAAACAATCTAAAATAGGATGTAGCAGGTGCCCGGTGGAATTACTGTTTTAAATATCAAAAAAGCTAACCAGTCAATCTCGAGAAACCTGGGAAACATTATTTTAGAAGCTTTAGGCCATTCTTATTGTGGAATAACGTAATAAAATTGGACTCTCTGGTGAGGTAATAGGATGTGATTCACGTGAAGCTTTCTAATAAGGTGGCCAAGGTCTGAGGCAAATGTATGAACGCATGTCCACTGTCAGTGCCATAATTTTTCTTTAAGCCGCACCCTTTGCCCCATTGATTCAGGTATGTTTAAGCTACGACACAATATATGTTCCCGAGTGTAATGTTGTTATTGTATGTGATACTCAGTCAAGAGATTGCTGATGGTGTCAACAAATCTGCTCGAGCTGTGCAAGCAGCAGAAGCTGGAATCAGACAAATTGGGTCTCGTGCTCACCAGCAAACAATGTGTATGCTCTCTCTCATATATTCCTTCCATAAAGGCAGATCATGTGACTTCTTCCTAATTTAAGACTGCTTACTTTCTGTTCGAATGTGTCATTAGCAATGATTCAGGAGAGAGCAGATCTTCCAGTCATATCTTTGCAGCCAGTTGTAACTGGAGCAGCAAAGAAGACTTCTCGTGCTGTTAGCCAAGCTACGAGAAGATTCATGAATATGATTTCTGGAGGTGAACTTGGCTCAGAAATGGAAGACAACAGGGAAATTGATCCAGAACCTTAAGAGAACATGTCTCCATTATTTTACTCGATCATTGGCAGAGTAAAAACATGTTTATATGTTCCAAACAAAATCCTGAACATGAACAACACATGTAAAAGTAATGATTCAGAACGTTTTTCAGTAAATATTAGCCATCTTTCAAGAATGAGGTAGGCAGCTATGTTTTCACGCCTGCTGTGTGGGAAGGAGAGTTTCTTCTGCTCGCACTTGAGATTGTCAGAACTGCACAGCAAATCATGGTTATCCAGTTATTCACTAGTGAGCTACTTAATTTGTTCAATTGTATTTTGGCAAAAACAATTTGGATATTTTATCTTTGCACATGGTGAACCACAGATGTTTCTTGTAGAATGATTTTCAATGTTAAATGTGGAATTGTATTCGGAAAAATTACCACTTTTATAGATTTACTAGTTAAGAAAATGCCCTGCTCAGGCCCAACATTTTGTTGTTTTTTTCATGGAATTTTTACCTCTATATACACTGTTAGACTTGTTATTTTCCTTTTTGGGGTAGTTTTTTTTTTCCCAGTGTATAACATAGTTTTACATTTAATAGCTAACATTAGAGAATAAGGGTCCCTTGATGTTAGACTTGTAAATGTTTACTATATCATCAGGATTTTGTTGTGGGTCAAGTATGTTTTTCCACTTTCTTAGTAATTCCCGGATTTCTTTTCAGATTAATGAAGAAAAGAAATACGGAGAAGGCAAAGTTATTGAGGAAAAATAGGTTTCGAATAAGAAATTGATTCAAGGAATTTCATTTTCAGTCATTTTTGAATTTTCGCTAGATTTGAAGATATAAATAATTGAAGATTTGAATTTGTGATGAGTTTGGATTGGTTGTTCTTGCAAACAATTTAGAATATACTTTTGAGTTCATATATCATTGTTGAGGGAGATAGATCAAGTTTAGAGTTGATTTTAGGAGAAATATTAGACTAAAACATGAAGAAGATGAAGTTTCAAAATTGTATCATGATTAGTATTAGAGTTGTATCATCAATGTTTCATAATTGTTTAAAACTACATATGACTTGTATCTTATATTTCCATAACTAAAACAATACATGATACAATACTAATACAAGTATGATACAATATAGCAAAAGGGATATTATATTTGAATCTAAAACATTCTCAAATTTTGTCAATCACTTTACATACTATTATATTAAAAATGTATTATATATATAGGGGAAAGACGTAAACTCTCATAAGCTTGTTATGATAAGTCAGTTACACGTTTAAACTATTGTGATGATCTGTTACATACCTGAATTACTTAAAAGTGATTTTTAAAAAAATTGTGAATTAATTTTCACCTTGACGCACATATAACCAGTCACATGATGAGAAGTGCATGCTCGCGTCACATCATCACCATGTCACTACCACATCAACAATTATGAAAGATTTTTTTTAAAAAAATATAATTCATGTCACCCCAATTGCTTCTTCCCCTATACATAGGGATGGCAATGGGGCAGTGCGGGGCGGGGACGGGGGCGGGGTGGGTTTAAGTCTACGCGGGGGTGGAAGGGGCGGAGCGGATTTAAGGTTGTGTGGGGCGGGTTAAAGTGGGTTTTTTAAATTAATGCGGGTTGCAGGTATATATGATTTTATGTGGGTTCAAGCTTAATTTTAATTTTTTACATGTTATAACTTATAAGAGTGATAGAACATTATTTATTAAAATAATTTCTTTAAAGATAATAAAATATTAAAGATAGTAAATGAAAATGGTTCAATAAAAAATAATTTCTTAAGTCACTATCCTATTAAATTAATATAACTAAATGAAAAATGAATTTATTTGTATGAATTTTATTTTTAGTATCAAACTTAACTAGAAAAAGAAAATATTATAAAAATTATGCGGGGCGGGTCTATGGGGGGCAGGGTGGGCGGGTTGAAAAGGAAAAAGGTTGTTATGCGTGGTGGGGCGGGGCGGATTAAAAATTTTGCGGGTTAAGCTTAACCCGCTCCACCCCCGATCTGCACCACCCCATTGTCATCCCTACATGTACACCATCAGACCCACCATTAAGCCACAATTATTGTTGTCAGTATCACCAAACTCACATCTCTACCACTATAAATTTTATCACCCACAATCAAATTCACCATCGGAATCTTTCCACAACCATTGTCATTATAAAAAATTGCAAACAATCATAATTAATTTAACTAGATTCACAATCGAAATTATATCACCACCATTACCACTATGAAATTCATCACAATCTTGACCACAAATTTCAGCATTCACCATCTACAAGTTTCATTGCTAATTATTAAAATTAAAAGTCATACCATCACTAATTTTATCACTCATTACCAAACCCATCACAAAGATTATCACAATTACAAATTTCGTTCAACCTCAAAGAGGAGAAAGGTGAAAAATAAAAAGTCAATTCATAAAAGAAAATAAAGTGATTTTGATAATATAAAAGAAAGAGAAGAAATGATGAATGACATGAAGAAAAATAAGAAGTTTGAGGGTTGTCCATGGAGAATGGACTATATTTTTCTTCTTCTTCTTCTTCTTCTTCTTTTTTATTCATTTACGCATTTTTTCTCTTTTCTTTTAATTCTTTTGTCACATCAGTTTTGGGGTGGAAATAGATTCACTTTTAAGTAGTAAATGTGTGTAATAGATTGCTATAATAGTTTAAGCGTGTAACTGATATTTTCATACAAGTTCAAGGAAAAATTTATATATTTTCTCTAGTTATATATTCACCACATGCATTGTAATATGCCTATAATAGGTATAATATACTAATTTCAAGATATATTACATATGTTGTTTATATGTATTTCTTTTATTAATCATGTCACAGAGTATTAACCTAGACTTCAAACATTCAAGTACTAGTTAAGTTAGTTCAAGTGTTAATATATTAAAATTGTGATAGAAATGTATTTATATAAAAAAAAATTCTAGTTTAAAGAGTAATAAAAATATGGCTTAATGTATAAATATACCATTAAATTTGGTGTCACTTGACATTTATGTCCTTCAATTTTGAGTGTGCGCAAGTAGGCACTTAAACTTGTATAAAGTTGAACAAGATTATACACACACTCCTATGTGGCAGGACGCCACATAGGATCCTCCATAAGAGGTGAATTGCCACATAAGATGTCAAGTAGGACACGTGTGTGGCCTGCTTGACAAATGTCAACAATGGAGACATCGTGAATTAGTCTGCAGGCATCGCGATAAGTCCTCTGTCCTACTACAAGTGTTGCGACAACCTTTACAAAGTCCGAATGATTGTCGACCACCAGATCCACTGGTCTGTAATATTCACCCCGACCTACAAGCACAAATCCTCTCTTGCTCAACTCTATAAATATTTTAGTGTCTACTTGTGCATACTCAAAGTTGGAAAGCATAAATGACCGATGAGCCCAAGTTAAATTGCATGTTTATGCATTATGCCTTTATAATATATTTTAATAACGCTTATAATATTACAAAGGCATAATACGCAAATATGTTCATTAACTTGGCTTGAGCTGACATTTATGCCCTCCAATTTTGGGTGTGCGCAAGTAAGTCCTTAAACTTGTACAAAATGAAACAAGTAGACACACACGTCTTACGTGACATAATATACATAGGACGCCACATAAGACACAAATTGCCACCTAAGATACCATGTAGGACAAATGTGTATATATTTTCAATTTGATACAAGTTTAAGTGTTTACTTGTGCATACCCAAAATTAAAGAGCATAAATATCACTTGAGGCCAAGTTAAAGGGCACATTTATGTATAATGCATATTACAAATGTGAGGTATTTTAGGCATAATACATAAATATGCCCTTTAACTTGGCCTCATTTTACATTTATGCCCTCCAACTTTAGGTGTGCACAAGTAGACACTTAAACTTATATAAAGTTGAACAAGTAGACACATGAATCCTATGTGACATAAGTCACCATGTAGGGTACAAATTTTCCTGTAAGATGTCACGTAGACATGTGTGTCTATTTGTTCAACTTTATACAAGTTTAAGTGTCTACTTGTGCACACCCAAGGTTCGAGGGCATAAATGTGAAATGGGGCTAAGTTAAATGACATATATATATTGGCAATGCATATGAATTAATGAAAGTCAGTTTCTAGAAGTTCTTGGGTGGAACAAGGACATTGGAGTTGAGCTTAGTGTGGTTTTCACCCGTAGATTGATCATCCATGGAGTAGCTTGTTCAGTTTTGAGAGGTTGCATTTCAAACATAGGTTGTGTGTTTCAAGAGTCATTGGTACTCGAGTTGGGCTTTGCCTTGGGTTGGGTTTCTTATATAGGCCCTTGCCACTCTTCGATGTTTAAGGAGGTGTTGCGTCCAAGCGCACCCATAAGTGTACGTGGTCATGCAAGTAATAAAGTAGTCATTTTTAAGAGTCGAATGTCGTACCTACAGAGACTTAAGATTAGAGTATATTTTATTTTTCCAATAACTGTAATTTAAAGCAAGTGTTTCCAGAAAGATTGATGAATGATTCTAACTTATTAATTATTCGAAGTAAACTAAGCTAGCTAATATGATTCAATTTTGTGTTGGAGTTAAAACAATGACTTAGGTCATTCCAGGGCTGCGGCCTACTTTGTATTCATGCATACTACATCTTTTTATAGACTTCAATTGATTATCAAATCACTGATTTATAGGGTTAAATATATGATCATGGTCTTTCGATCTCTAATCACCTACTGCAATTAGCAGCCTAACTACCGTTGAGCGGGGATAGACTGAACCAATTGTGAAACATTAAGTTTTCATCATGTTTAGTAACCAAGCACTATCTCTGGGTATATCTCTATTCTAGATAGAAATCAACCCTAATTTCTAGAGAAGATGATGCTCCTTTTGTCCCACGTTCTATCCGCATATCCCTCTCCTGAGTTCAATTCAGACAATAAGCTTATTTCAATGGTGGTCAAACACGAAATACCAACTCAAGAACAAAAGAGTGATTTATGCAATAACCAACTTCAATCTATAAAGTTCAATAAAATACAATCATCTTGTAGCCACAACCCTCGAATAAGAGAATTTAACTACTCATAATGTGATTCTCAATCTTCAAGTATTTCATATTCATAAGAGAAATCGATAGAAGTAAAGAGCACAAATAAACCCTAAAATTGAATTAAGAGTTCTCCAAGTTGTTGTTCTCCAAAAGCTAGAAAAAAATTAAAATAATAAAATCTAAGTCTATTTATAGTTTGAAAAAAGTAGGCAGAAAACTAGGCCTTAGGTCCGCGATGTGCATATGCTTGCGTATTCAGACTTTCTTGAACACCTCCTATTCGCGACACGGAGAGGATACGTAGTCCTCTGTA